GATGGGGGCGGGGCGTGAGCTCCTGAACGCTTCCCTGTGGCCCTGGGCCTCACTTGGGCCAGGAGGCCTGGAATGAGAGACGTTCTTGGCTTTCTTATTATTTAAGGTCTTCAAGTCCATTGCCCAACTCAATGCCCTTCCCTCACAGCAATATTCTAGATTTGCGTGTTTACCTTCAGGGACAGGGAACTCACCCAGGCCTGCACAGGCTGAATTCAGGCTGACACCTCCCCCTTTCAGGGGAGAGCCCAGCAGGGAGAGAAGGAGCACGTTTCTTGGCAGTTCTCTGTGGGGCCCCTGCAGAGACCCTCCTACCCTGAGATCCTCTCTGCTCAGGCCAGAAGCTCTAGCTCATCACCTATATCTCAGGTTCAGTCCAGTCCCTCCCCTTATTTTCTGTAGTACTTGGGGATTGAACCTGGAGCCTTTAAGGTACACCCCCAGCCCCCTTTTTTAATTGGTTGTTTTAATTTTGAGACAGGATCTCACTAAGGCACTAAGGTGCCCAGGCTGGGCCAGGAATCGCGATCCTCCTGCCTCAGCCTTTCAAAGTGCTGGAATGATAGGGGTGTACCATCCTGCCTGGCTCAGCCTCTCTACCCCAACATTCATTCAGGTTTGAGTGGCTCGATGGTGCCTCATATTGTGTGGTCTGTGCTGAGGGGAGCAATTTTCCCTGCCCTCTTCTGAACCCTTTCGGCCCAGCCCAAGGTCCTGCCATGTTGCCAGCAGCCAGAGTCAAGCTGTCTGTCCTGCTCCTGGGCACAGGGACAGGCTATCAGTCACCCTGCAAGCCCCCAGTCTGGACTGGTGCTCCCTCAGGAGGCCCTGCCACCCTAAGAGCTGGACTCCACGATGCACTTGAGGAACATGGTGTCATCCTTCACGTAGGCGTGCTTGGGCGATTGCAACTTGTTGAGGGGGAAGAAGAGCGGGCAGCCGCTGGCCACGTTGGTTTCACTCTGGGGCCTCTGGAAGGATGCTGAGCTCAGGTCGGGCCGGAAGGCGTCGATGGCGTGCTCGCGATTGTTCTGGTCCAGTAGCATGAAGGTGACCTGCAGGGCAGGGGCAGGTGGGAGATCAGGTCCCGGGCAGCAGCATCCAGGCTCATAGACCCAGTGTGCAGGCTCCAAGGGCTCCAAACCAGTAGTCAGTGTGGACCCTTAGCTCAGACTGACCAGGAACCAAAGAAACAATGTAAGGACCACACCTGTGGTGCATATGACCCCTGCAACCAGAGGCACCTGCTGCTCTGAGCCGGCTTCCTCTGAAGCTTCAGCAGGCTTCAGGCTCTGATTAGGACCAGCTGGCCTACCCCGCAGGAAGGGCGGGGGATTCTGATGCCATAGTCAAGCCTGGCTCGCTGTTGGAGGAGAAATTACAGACTAGGAGGGGACTCAGTCACCTAAATGTGCCTTCTGGGCTGTACAGCTAGAACCTCCTGGGGCCAGGAATTGGGTGAGAACAGACTCGGTGCCCTGTTTATCACGCTCTGGCACACACAGCAGATGCATGTACTCCTGAGAAGCTGATCAGCTGACCACGCGCCTTGAAACCCCATCAGGGGCTGAAATTATTCTGTTTCCTACTGAAGCAGTTCTTAAACTTGGCTGAACTGAGGCTTCCCAGGCCCTGGTCTGTACTTAAAAAAATGTACCCAGGGGGCTGTGTCTCAGAGGAATAGCACATGCCTAGCATGCGGGAGGCCCTGTATTCCACTCCCACACCAGAAAACAAAATGTCCCCAGCACATATGGGAACAGGTGCCTGCTGACTCCTACTACTCAGACCCACAGGGCCTGCCCACTTGCCCATTTCCCACCCCAGCTGAAGCCTGCAGGCTTGACACCTCCCTCTCCATGCTGCTGTTACCTGCAGGGAAAGCCTAGCCTCTGCAACTCTCCTTTACACTTTAATAGACTATCATTTAGAGCAGTTTTAGGTTAACAGAAGAAGTGAATAGGAAATACAGAGCTTCCTATATGGCCCCTCTTCCCCTACATGCACAACTTCTCCCAGCACGAGCATCCTTCACCCAAGTGGTGCCTTTGTTACAGCTGATAAAATTATACTGATACAAGTCCGCGGTTTCCACTAGGGCTCACTCTTGGTACTATCAGTTCTGTGAGTTTCAATAAAAGTATAAGGACACAAATTCTCCGTCAGAGCAGCATATGGAGGAGTTTCACTGCCCTGTGAGTCTTCGGTGAGCCTGCTCTTTCTTCTTCCTTCTCTTCTACCCCCTGGAGACCAGTGATCTTTCTACTGCCCTCGTAGGTTTGCCTTTTTCATCAGAACATCACACAGTCAAGCGCATATAGTATGGCTGGCTTTTCAGACTGACTTCTTTCAGTGAGTGAAACTCAGTTTTGGTTCCTCCATGTCTTTCTGTGGCTTCATAGCTTGTTTCTTTTTATCACTTCACAATATGCAATTAAGTGGATGTAGCAGTTCATCCATTCACCTATGAGAGGGCATCTTGACCAATTCACATTTTGGCAATTAAGGATAAAGTTACCATGAACACTCACATGCAGGGTTTTCTGCCTTGGGTGTGGGCACACTTTTCAACTCTAGGGTGAATACGAGGAGCGCGACTGCCGGATCATGTGTAAGAGTAGGTTTAGTTTTGGGAGAAACCACTGAACTGCTTTCCCAAGTGGCCGTCCCAGTCTGCATCCCACCAGTAGGAATGAGAGCTCTTTTTGCTGCATGTCCTTGGCAGCACACAAAGTGCTCAATGTTCTGGATTTTGGCCATTTGGAGAGGCCAGGGGCCAGGAGGGGACGGGGTATAGAGGTATCTGTCATCTGTCTCCTTTCCCTTTCCTGAAATCCTGCAGGTTCACGCTGGCCTCGCAGCACCTCCTCCAGAAAGCTCTCCTTACCCACTTCGCCTTGAGGATTCCACTTCTACAAGCCCTCCAGGAACGCTTTATTCCAGAGGTTTTAGCGCCTGGGCTCAAGGATCACCTTGGCTGCTAGATCCGAACTCAGCTTCTTGTTGGAAATTGATAATGCAAGGAGGACTTGCCCAGGTTACACAGCCAGCTCATAAAGCAGAACTAAAATCCAGGTTCGCAAGCTCCCCTTGCCACCCCTTGTCCCCCCAGCCTCTGTCCCGGTCCTTACCTTGTTCCGGAAAGGCCACGGCAGCAGAGCATCATACTCTCCTCTCATGATCACGATGAAAAGTGACAGGTGGGTCCTCTTGCCTGTGCCATCTCCGTTCAGATAGAGCCTCAGGCACAACTTGTAGCCATACTTGGCAGTGTAGAAAGCTGAAATGAGGGCCAGGGTCAGTGCAGCCTGGCTGAGGCTGGGCTGCACTGACCACGCAGATGAGGAGTGTGGGATGTACTGTTCAGGCAGCCCAAGGTCAGTGGCTCAGATCTGGGACAGCTGGGGTCGGGGCCCAGGTTTCCTTCTCTACGTGACAGTACAGAAGAGGGGACAGGCTGTTGGAGATCACCAGATGGGCCCCATGCTCAGGGTATCTGATTCAGTGGTGGTGGTGGTGGTGGTGGTGGGGACCTAGAATCTACATTTCTAACAAGTTTACAGGAGATGCCAGTGGGGCAGCAGGCCCAGGACCACACTTTGAGAACCACCATTCGAACCAGCCTAGTTTTACACTGCGGAAACTGAGTAAGGGGAAGCGCTGGGCAAAGGCCCCAAGGGACAAATCACTGCTGATGACTAAGCACATGAACCTATGGTGATCTCTCCCTGGGCAGCTGAAAAATTTGTCCTTTAGGGTGCGGGTTCTGACATTCTGGTGACACTTCCCTGGGTGGGGATGGGGTGTAAGGGTTGGGCAGGAAGCGGGTACAGGAAGAACATGCTACCAGGCTGACTCATCTCTGCCCATTACGTGTTGGTAGAACAGGAAGCCAGAGGTACTGCTTGCTTTTCCCTCCTTGCAAAGGTTCTGGGAGGAACAGTCCACAGGTCAGGGGTGAGGGCAGCCCATGGAGAGGGTCACCTCTGTGAGGGGACCACTTTGGGGCCCTGTGCCACTCTGGGCAAACTCCACCGCCTTTCCATGATTCTGGCTCAGTTGGTCATGAGTTCATCAGGGTGGCTTCAGAAGGTCTGAAGCCCAGGCACCTTCCTGTTCACTCAGACACATCTGCGAGACATGAGGGGCAAGCACAGAAGGCTGAGCTCTTATTTATTGCACCTGACTCCTGGGCAGCCTTGGGTGGGGACTTTGCCTTCTTGGGGCTCAGTTTATTTAAACGGAACCACAGCTCTGTGTGTGTGTGTGTGTGTGTGTGTGTGTGTGTGTAAGAGCATTTTATACACAAATATATGTATGCACTGTTAAGAAAAACATTTCCCAAGTAGCTACTTTATGCAAGTCATTGTGCCAAGCCCAGGGGCCCAGAAATGAGTAAGAATTGTTCCAGTTTACACAGCACACATCCACGGACTACCCACAATTGCACACAAGCATGTAACTCTGACTCAGCCTTCTACATATCTAACTGCAGACTGCTAGTTCCCTGAGGACATGAGTCTCACATACTCCCCTGTGAAAACCACCACCTACATCTCTCTCACTTGCACCCCCTTTGGCTCTGAAGATGTCTCTTGCACTTGACAGCCTCGTGAAGCAGATATCAATTTACCTTCCTATTTGTGGAGCTGAAGGGGCCTGCCTGGGGCCGAGATCCCACTGGTGTACGTGGATTAGAGCCCGGGGCCAGCAGTTTGCCCACTGCCCCTGTGGTCCCAACTCAGATCTGGCTTGGACCTAGCATGCTGTCCCCCTGGTGGTGGCTGTTCTCCCAGCTTGTTTTCTGGGCCTAGAGGGCCCTGCCTTCTCCATCTGGTCTCTGTGGCCCCTGGGGATTTACCTGGGGAGAAGAGACTGACTGTCCTGCCACAAGCAGACTCATGGCACCGCCTGGTGACATTGGTGATCTTCCACACAAAGGTGCCATCGAAGGAGGCCTCCTCCATGAGGCGCAGGCTCTGCTCCAGCTTTCCCAGCACCTGGTCTTTCTGGGCCAGTGTCTGCTGCAACTCCATCACCTGCAAGGAAACGCATTCAGCCAGGGACACCAGAATCCATTTTGGGGGTGAGATGGGACAGCAAGGTCAAAGATAGCTCTGCCCCCAAATGCTTTCCCAACCACGCCTCACTTGGGTGCACGAGTCTGTGATTGTATGTGCTATCCCCTGCCTGGAGTTCCTTTTTTTTTCTTTCTTTCTCTACTGGCCAACTCTTACTCATTCATTAAGAATCCAGCTCATACAGCCCTTCCTGTGGGAAGCTTTCAGTCACTTCCTTAGCTCAGCTGGTCTGTGTTCCCACAGAGCCTTACGATGATTTTATGAAGTGTATTTTTTTTCTCTTTCCTACCAGTTGTTTTCCCTCATTATGGGCTTGACCCATGCTCATCTCGGTTGTGTCCATGCCTTGCCCAGTGCCTGGCCTGCAAGAGTAGAGTCAGGAGATTTGTTGGTGGGAAAATGACACAGTCACTGCCCTCATGGGGCCTGGGTGAGTTATATAAATAAAGGCTTTCCTCGGCCATCTGAACCCAGTGCCTGGTTCTCCTAGTAGGTTTTCCCAGTGTGATCTGAAAGACTCCGACTTTAGTCTTGGGTATGGATAGGTAAGGGAAGTGAGGAATGAAAATGAGTCTCCTTAAAGAAAATCTAAGCCCTAATTTTACTGCTGGGGAAGCTGAGGTCCTGAGGGAGAAAGTGACTTGCTCAGGTTTACTCAGCAAATTAATGGGGAAACTGGAACGAACTCAATATGATGTATTGTTGCTGCAAAAAAGCAAAGTTGGCATGGTGAGTGGCTACGTTGGAGAAGTATAAGCTGTGGCATAAAGGACAGTTCTGTTGGGTAAGTGGATTATCTGGAGTCAGCCTCCAAAAATATGGAATCCTTTAGAGACTAGGCCAGAGTATTTAAGGACAACAAGCAATAGCATGTCCCGAAGATGAGGCTGGGCATTTGGTCTCAAGAAGGACTGGGGTAATCCTTGCCCCTCCATCGCTGAAGGGTTGCCATGGAGATTTTGGCTTAGTTGAAGGAAGAACTTTCTCATAGTGAAAAATGTCCAGCCACGGAAAGAGCTGTCTTGGGAGGGAGTGTCCTATTTCGGGAGAAGCTCAAGCAGAGGAACTGAAGCCCTGGGTGGGGCAAGAGTTTTGACTGTGACTGGACCTGCTGACCAAACGCTCTTCTCAGAGGGTCTGGGGCATCCAGGGGAGGTAGATTTTAGTGGGGAATGGTGAGCAGGATGAACGACTAGGAGGAAGGCCGGACTACAGCGATGGGGACAGCATAGGACCACGGGGGCTCCCTAGCCTGGCCGTGAGGGCAGACTTGCTTCTCCTGCTCACCCTCTGCTCTAAGCTCAGGATGCGCTCACGGTCCAGCTGGCTCTGGTGGATGGAGGCAGCCAAGGCAAGGTGGGAGGCCTCCACCTCCTTGTTGAGCACAGCAACAATGTTCTCAAACACGCGGAGCTTTTCCTCCAGCTCGGCCAGCAGCTTCTCCTTCATGAAGCGCTGCAGGGCCAGCTCCTCTTGGCTCTCAGAGCAGGGGGCTCGGTAGCAGTCCACCTCCAGGTCCCCCGCCACCTCCACAGCTGCCTGCAGCTGCAGGTCTGACAGATTCCGCTCTAGGGCTGTGGGCCTGGAACCTGTGCCTGAGCCCAGCTGGGCCTTCCACTGTTTCATGAAGCCCAGCAGCAGGTTCAGGTGGGTGGCCTGGGAGGTGGCCTCATGCTCCTGTAGGGACTGGGGGCTGCCCTGTCGAGAGAGCAGAACATCAGTGAGAAGAGAGGTGGTGGGAAGACTGAGGAACAGTGGAGATTGCTGACATTTAAGGGCGCCACAGGACGTCCCAGCAGAGGAAAGTGGCTCTCTGCACAGTGGGAGGGATGGGAGGACCCTGGCATCAGACATGCCCACCTGGAGCCACAGGAATCCCAACTCCTAGAGCAACAATCCTGCCCACCCTTTGAGCTCAGTGACAATTCAGGACCATGGAGAGAGGCATAAGGGTCCTTAGAATGACTAAACACCAAGGTTTAAGTAAGAAACTAAGAACTTCCTTGCTAGCATTCTGGGAGGCTGAGGCAGGAAGATAACAAGTTTGAGCCCAGCCTGGGCACCTTAGTAACTTAGTGAGACCCTATCTCAAAAATTTAAAAATATAGCTTAGGAAGCAGTGCAGTGTGAAAGCCCTGGGTTCAATTTCCCAGTACCAGAAAACAAAAACAAGAACTTCCCTGAAAACTATGATGACTTAATAGTGGGATTAATGGCTTGGAAAGTCATTAGTTCAGGGAACAGCCAGAGGAGTAGCTTGAGGTTATGGGAAACTGCTGGATGGGAGAGACAAAAGGTCTGTGATCACACTGGATGAACCCCTCTCCCCACACCTACCTTGAAGGAACAGCCAACACCTGCAAAGGGGCACCCAACTCCAGCCTCGGCCACCTCGGGGTGAACCTGGAAATAACAACCATGTCACTGCATGCCATGGGGATCTGTGTGGCCACCCCAAGGGTCCTCTGCAAAGCACTAAGAGCCACCTGGGCAGGAGTGGACCTGGCACATGACCTGGCACATGCTGTTCCCTCTGCCCGGTAACACCTTTCCCCCCTTTGAAGCTTGGCTGTTTTGTGAACTTCCTTCAAAACAGGACCAGAGCCCTGCTATATCTGTCAGGACAGGTCCCACACTGCCCCATGAGCAGATACGTCATGAAAGGAGACACATGAATGACTAATAAGGGTACAAAATGATGCTCAGTATCACCAATCATCAGAGAAGTACAAAGTGTAACCACAGGGAAACGTGCCTACCCACTCACTAGGCAGCTAAAATGCAAATAGCGGCAGTGGGAATTCTCCTGCATTGCTGGCGGGAATGCAAAATGGCACAAATGCTTTGGAAAACTCTTTAGAAATAGCTTATGAAGTTCAACCATGCTTCTAAAATAACCTGCTTACCAACTGTACTTAAAAAGTTGCTGTATAACCCACACATTGCACTCTCAGTTGACCCAGGAAAAATGAAAATACCTGTTCACAAGAGATGCAGATATGAATGCTCATAGCAACTCTATTCATAACAGCCCAGGCCATAAGTGATCCACTGTAGCCAGCGGTGAGCAGGTAAACAAATTGCAGTCTATCCATACTAGAGAACACCACACTCAGCAATGAAATGGGATTAAATATACACAGTTGCATGGATGATCCTCCAAAACACTATGCTAAAGGAAAGAAGTCAAATACAAGAGACCACATACACTGATTCCATTCTGAAGCATTTCTAGAAAAGGCACAATGATAATGATCCAAAGTAGATCAGCCGTTGCCTGATGCTGCAGGGCGGGAGTGGCTCAGTAAGGGCACAAAGTAGCTTATTTGGGGTCAGAAATGTTTGCCATCTTGTAGTAGAGGTCACGTGATTATATGTAGTAACCAGGATTCATTAAGCTGTACTCCTACAATGAGTGAATGTCACTGCGTGAAAATAACTTGGTTTTATGAGAGTTTTGCTATTTTTTCTGAAAGAATGAGCTGGTGGGGGGAAAAATGGGAGGCGATGTGGATAAAAGGAGAGGGCAGAGGTCTCTTGGGCTGAATAAATACAAAACCACACTAGCTATTCTACTCTACAAGTAAAACAAGCAGAAGGCAGTGGGCTTAATGAGTACATTGGTTTGGGACACAGAGCATGGCCAGCGAAGGCCCACTGTGCCTCACCCACTGCTCCGGGGACAAGTGTTTCCAACAAAGAATGGGAAATAGATGTTTCATGGGGAGTGGGCTTTGGGAAGCGTGTGGCGATGGAGCCTGTCCTCACGGGTGGCTTTCCATGACATGTGGGAACAAGAAAGGCCTGATGGCAGGTGCTTGGCACATGAACCTGGGGAACCTCGTGGGCCCTACAACTCCCTATAAATATCCATGATTCAAATCCTCTGTGGCTCTAAGGGTGGAAGCTGGATGTGAGTCATCAGCGATAGGAGGTGAAAGGCCAAGCTGACATCACCCGCCTGGGGGTGCATCCTCCCCGGTGTCAAGTGACCAGGGATAGCCTGCGGCGAGGACGTCCAGGTCCTACAGCTCAGATGCATGTACAGTTGTGGGCTGGCAGGCTGATGGAGGAGGGACGGGGTGACTTGAGAGACCTTCTGAGGCCTTGGTGGCCAGCCAGGCTGCCTGGCTTCACAGCGGTTCCTGACTCCGTAGTGTATGGAGGTCAGGGGTGCGGGTCCCGGAGCCAGCCTGCTGGGGCTCAGAGCCTCTTTCTGTCACTTTGCATCCCAGAGGAGTAGCCCTGGGAGAGTCATTAACTTCTCAGTCTTAATTTCCCGATCTGCAAAATGAAGATAATAAGAATACCTACCCTCTTTGGGAGTAGTTGTGGGGATTAATGGGTTAAAACAGTGGCTATTTATTATCTTTCAGTTCTGGAGGCCAGAAGTCCCAACCCCAAGGTGTCAGGACTGTGTTCCCTCTGGAGCTCTAGGGGAGCTCCCCTTGTTTCCAGCTTCTAGCGGCTCCCTGCATTCCTTGGCTTGGGGTCCCTTCCTCCAGCTTCAAAGCCAGGAGCACAGTATCTTCCAGTCTTTTGCTGACCCTCTTGTCTCCCTCGTATGAAGGCCTTTGTGCCTACATCCTGTTCACCTAGATAGTCCTGGGCTATCTTTGTATCTCAAGATCCTTCATTTAGTCACACTACAGAGTCTCTTTTGCCATTGTTATGGATTGAGTGTGGCCCGCTCCAAATTTATATGTTGAAGTTATAAGCCCCGGGATCTCAGAATGTGGTGGCAGGGCTTTTAAAGAACTCATTAAGTTAAATGAAGTCATTATAGATGGGCCCTAACCGAATAGGCCTGGTGCTTTTAGAAAAAGAAATACGGACACGGGAGACCAGATGACAATGCAGGAAAAGAGAGTCATCTACAAACCCGAAAGAGAGGCCTGGGAAGAAAGTAACCCCACCAATACTGTGTCTCGGGAAGCAAACTTCTATTGTTTGTACCACCCAGGCTGAAGCACTTGGTTGTGGCAGCCCTAGCAAGCAAATACACTCAAGGCAATCTATTCACAGGTTCCCAGGATTGGGATGTGGACATCTTTTTAGGGAACGATATTGTCTAACACAGTGTTCAAGACATGTCAACTGTGAGTAGTGCAATGGCTGTTATCAGAATTATTCCTATGGATTAAGTTCTACTGCTGCCTCCCCCATGTCTGCCAATCCATGTATCTCATTTAGTCTTCACATCTCAAAACTCTTAATCTGATACAACTTTGTTTTCTCATCGGATTTTTCTCTGACAGGCAAGGAACATCCTTGAACATGTAAGTTCCTAACACATCTAATTACAGAGGACCAAATCATTTTATTTTTGAAACAGGGTCTCGCTATGTAGTTCAGGCTGGCCTTGAGCTCTCTATATAGCCCATGCTGGCCTCAAACTTGTGATGATCCTCCTGCCTCAGCCTCTCAAGTGCTGGGATTACAGGCATGAGCCACATGCCCAGTGACCAAAGCACTTCTGCACGTTAGCTCAAAGGGCCCCTGTGATAATTCTTTGTGGCAGACAGGGCCGGATTAGCTTCACCTAATAGGGACAGTGACACTGAGTTGATGGCTCACTTGAGGTCATGCCTGCTTGCTCAGCCCCGTGTGGTCTATGGTCTGTTTGACCTTCCCAGCACCGTGAGGAAGAGGACAGGCCCGGAGGTTCTGCTTCCTCACCAGGGAAAGGAAGCCAGGGCTTGGGTGGCAGGGGCGTATAGGAGGCAGCATGGCCAAGCAAGACAGCCCAGGAGCCTGGAGCCACTTCCGCAGTCCTTCCCCACCAAGGAGTCCTCAGCTTGACCAAAGGACTGCTTCCCCTGAAGGCTGGGGATGGATGGGACAGAAAGGGAATCAGGCCCGGCTGAGGAGAAAGAATAGCACGCTCTGTCCTGGGCCAATTCTGGGGTACCCTTGGTGCCACAAATGGCCCCTGTGTGAATGGTTGTACTGCTTGCAAGTCACTAAAAATAAAGTTGGCAGTGGAATTTCCTCTGAGGAAGAAATAGAAAAAGAGAAAACAGAGTTCCAGCCCTGCGGGAACACTTGCCCTCTGTCTAGGTCTGTGGGCCTCTGGGTGTGGGGTGTTCCCAGTCACCCTGGCCACTCAGGCCCTTTGTGACAAGGTCACAGAGGGTCCCGGTGCAAGGCCCCACTTAGGGACCTGGGAGCCTCAGAGAATGTGAGTGTGGAGAGGGTGCCAGCTGCCTGAGTGCCGCCTTTGTGCCACTGTTGTGCAGAACAAGGATCTGAGCATGCTGGGGCTGCCCACCTTGCTGGGCTGGGCACGGAGACCAGCTCGGGTTTGGAGGCCTCAGGGGCAGCACTCTAGTCACACAGGGGACTTGGTCTGCCTGGCTGCCTGCCAGTTCCTGTCCTGCTCTGTAACTGTGCCAGTTTCCCCTCTGCCTACCTCTGCTCAGCTCAGCTACCACCTCCTCCAGGAAGCCCTGCCCAATTCTCTGGTTGAAAGCAGTCCTGCACGTTCCTGTTCTGCCATCGCACTTACTGGATTCTGGCATTTAGAGATGACTGTGTTATTGAAGTATTCACAAGACCTCTGGGGAGGAATCCCCCATTTGGAGGCAGTGCAGAGATGATGCCACCAACCTAGGAGGCAGAAGCTGGGGCCTCGCTTTGCCTCTTCTCCTCTCTGGCCTTGATATAGTACCTATTCATAAAGTAGGGATACCATTACCACCCACCACACAGGATGCCACTGGACTGATGAGATTATAAACTGCTGAAGTCAGAAGAGTAAGGGTTTGGAGGTTCATCTGAAGGTATCACACTAGAAGGGACACAGATAAACAGGAACACGCTTGCCCCAGATGTATACAGACTGGGGCCTGGGGATGTAAGAGGGACAAGGTTAGTGTCTTCCGCAGGATGGACCCTGAGGATGGAGGCTGACTTGCTCTTTGTGGCCCTCGAAGGAGACCGACTTCAGCTCCATACAAATAAAGAAGAAATAGTCAAAATACTCAGAGTCCTTGGAACAAGTGAGTAGCCATCCACGGACAGAAAGTCATGTGGCAGGGAGAAGGTACATGATTGGAAACGGGGCAAAGCGGCTTAAGTCCCTGTCATTTCCGCTTCTAGGACAGGTTATAGCATTATTGTGAGCCCCCGTACGAGACAGCAGCATGATTCTGACCTTCTTGAAAGGGCCTCAGAGCGAAGAGAGTGAGAGAAACAATACCATGTGCAGGGGCCTTGGCAAACAGACTTGCATGCTGTTTTCCAGCCACTGGTTTGTCCCTTACTTCAGTGTCACTTCTTCAGGAAAATCATTCCAGGCAAGAGCCAAGGCTCTAACCAGGTCAACATTAATCCTCTAATATCTGCTTCTTACATTAGGTAACCTGTTCATGGCTCTGTGCCCTTCTCGGGGAGATTGTAATCTAATGAAGTCAGAGCATGAGCACAAGCTGATAAGCAGATGGCACAGAAAATGTCTACAAGGATGGGCGCCTCTGGGCTTGGCTCAGCAGGGCTCCAGCCCAGCCTGCCTTCTCCACCCTGCCTGTTCCCCAGGTTCTTTCAGACTCACAGACGAACTTAGGAATTCTCACATGTGCAAAGTGTTGACTGATTATCAGCTGCTCTCCTTTGGTCAAAAGTCCCCCAAAGTTTCCATTAGGGGCAGGTTGCAGAGTAGTTGCTAGTCTTTCCACTATGTGGCTTTTGTGCAGACCCTGACTCACCCCCTTTCACTGCCTGAGCATTGATGACCGCATTGCATGGGAAACCAGCAGGGATGGACGGGGATGCCACCTTTCCAAGTCTGTCTGTGTCAAGGAGGCCTTGGCCCCAAACCCAGGCAGCAGCCTGTCCTACCCCATAGCCTGTTAAGTGTTCCTGTAAGTCCACCACTTCTGGTTTAAGGCAGCCAGTTTCAAACTGTGCTGTGGGGTTCTATAAGTTCTCAGGGTCCTTTGAGTGAGGGGATGAAAGAAAGAGCCATGGTAACTAAGAAGATGGGGCTCCAGGTTCCCCTCCCATTAGAACACTCTCACTTATATTGGATTTTGCTTTGACAAAGAGGGAAACTCGAAGTCACCAGATGAAGAGATTGAAATCTACCTTACTTGTATTATCTAACATTCCTATAATGAGTGGGTATTAACTCTGTTAAGAGGGAGGAATAAAACAAGTTCAAAACAGTAGCCCTGGAGCATGCAATCAGGCAGAGCCTTAGAAAGCCCACAGAGTTAGGGGTCTGCTCTTGCGCTGTGGCCAAACAAGGTTCAGGAAGTTCTTCCACCTATCTGTGTATAATATTAACTCTTCCAAAATGTAGCATGTAAAGTTCCAGGAAAATGCACTCCATCCTGGTTATTTTTCTCCAAGGGCCTGCTGGAGGAGGGGCTGCTGAGAAAAGGACAGGAAAGCCCTCCAAACTTTCCTGCATGAGGCAGGAAATTCCCCCAGACTTTCTGAATGACAAGGACCAGTGCACAGAAGGGAGAAGGAGGTGGGAGTGAAAGCGCCCGTGGGCCCACTGACCTGTGACCTGGACATCACAGACCCTGGAAAGGCCCTGCAGAGTCAACTTAGAGGACTTATTTTGCAGCCACAAAATGGTTCCTGGAGCCAGGTTGCTGATCTGTGGGCCACTGACGCTAAAGGAAAAAGCGGCCGGGAATCTGTCTCACACGAGGGTAGTGAGGCTGGTGGAGCTTTGGCACTGGGACTTCCCAGGGGGTCTCGGGCCTCCTGTCTAAATGAGTAAATAAGGGTTAGGTTTTAGGCAGTGATTTTAGTATGTATGGAGTCATGGACCCATACAAGTATTTTTTTTTTTTTAATTGAGAGATTAACGCAGAGATTGCCATCTTTTTGTTGTACCTAGTAAAGGCTCTATCAGAAATGATCATCTATCATATTATCACATTTATACAATGAAAAGGGACATGAGCTCAGGATAAAGGGTGACTTGTTTTTGTTTTTCAGCACTGGGGATGAGACTCTGGACCTTGCAGTTACTAGGCAGGTGTAGCACCACTGAGCTACATCCCCGTTCCAAGGCTGACTCTTTTTTTTTTTTTTTTTTTGGTACCGGGACTTGAACTTGGGTCCTTGCACTTACAAAGCAGGCAGCAGAACCACTGAGCTAAATCCCCGGCCCTCAAGGCTGACTCTTTTTTTTTTTTTTTGGTACCGGGACTTGAACTTGGGTCCTTGCACTTACAAAGCAGGCAGCAGAACCACTGAGCTAAATCCCCGGCCCTCAAGGCTGACTCTTTTTTTTTTTTTTTGGTACCGGGACTTGAACTTGGGTCCTTGCACTTACAAAGCAGGCAGCAGAACCACTGAGCTAAATCCCCGGCCCTCAAGGCTGACTCTTTTTTTTTTTTTTTTTTTTGGTACCAGGACTTGAACTTGGGTCCTTGTACTTACAAAGCAGGCAGCAGAACCACTGAGCTAAATCCCCGGCCCTCAAGGCTGACTCTTTAAATAGAAGAGTTTAACTTCATAAGAAACTTACTAGGGTTTCCTTACTTTTTATTGTGGGTTCATGAACTGGTGGGAATGGGCCAGTTCTGGATGGCATGTGGGAACCTCTGTCTGCACAGATACTTGGCTGAGTGTCCTTCCTGCTTGGGAGGGCCAGAGTTCTAAGAGGTGGTACCTGAGGCTATTTCTGTGGCTCCTTACATTTCCAAAGATGTCTCTTATCCTAGAAGCATGGCCTGGCAGGGAGCTGATAACGACCTCTGCCTACATCAGCGGCTGGCTAATTTCTTTACTAAAGAGCCACAGACTAAATATTTTGGCCTTTGAAGTCTCTGTTGCAAGTATTTAACTCTGCCACCATGGGGAGAAAACAGCCACAGACAATATGCAACTGAGTGGACATGGCTATGTACTAATAAAACTTTATTTATGGACACAGAAGTGTGCATTTCATATAATTTTCATGTGTCCCCAAATAGCATTCTTCTTCCCCCCCAAGCCATTTAAAAATACAAAAAGTATTCTTAGCTTGAGGGCTGTACAAAAATCCAGGTGGTGGGCTGGATTTGGTGCACGAATCACAGTTCATGGAGCCCTAGTGCAGACAGTGGTTCTCACCCTTAATCTTTTACAGACCAGCTGGGTACTTTGAAGCAAGGTGCCTCACCTCTGAGAACATTGGGCTTCTCACTGCTTGTAAAATGAATTCAGTATAGACTCAAGGCAAAGGAGTGAGGTGTCTACCAGGGTCTGCTGGGCCTGCTTGGCCTCAAGCTGGACCAATCAAAAGAATGGGTAAATACTCTTTCCTGGCTGTGTCAACGTACCTTCTCCTGGGTCAGAAGGCTTCCTGGGCTTTCAGATTGGAGGGTGTCCCCTCTGCTTTTGGGACAGATCCAATCCTCGATGTTCCTGAGAAAACATGAACAAATCCTGCTGAGTGAGGCCCCACAAATCTCCTGGCAGTACCAAAAACCTTGATCTTGCCCAGTGTGGCTGCTGATACCAGTGATCATGCAGGTCCATCATTCCAAACCGCAAAAGCACAGGAAATCTAATGTTTTTCTGCAGCTAAACTTGACTTCAGCTGGCCCTCACTAGTCCAACTTAGTGTGAATATTTATCTTTCACTGCAGAAACATTAAAGTGCTTGATTATAGGGTGCTGCCCCTGTCCCCACTAGATGAATTATGTCATGTGCTGGCTTGCCTTTCTAAACCTTGAAAAATAAAAAGAATTCCCAAACACATCTGGCCCCAGGGGTTTAGGCAAGGGATTGCAGCCCCGTTTTCTGCCTGGAGAGGCCCAGAGAGTCACTCCTGACCCTGAGGAGACCTCACAGCAATCCTTGGGCTGGGAAAAGCAGTAAAGCTTTGCTTCTCCATCCCACACCTGGTCTTCCCATCACCATGGCCTCTTACCTCTTCCCACAGCCTGCCCTTTATCACCATGTTGGGCTTCTCACTTGCCTCATTCAGTTTTCCCACCTTCTTAAGCTATTACGCCCCAAACCTAAGGTCGGGGTGCATGGCCATTTAAGGGCACATTTGCCAGAAACTGGCCTTGGGCAAGTTGACCTCGTCTTTCCAGGAGGCCTCAGTGTCCTCACCTAAAATAGGACAGTAACATTACCTATCTCTCCAGGTTCTTCTGAGGACACAGGAAAGGGGACAGAGTAGGTGCCTGATAGCTGGCAAAGGTGGGATGCTGATGTTACTATTGATGTCCCACATTTCTGAGTCATTTATATTTTAAACACAAATATAGGCGGCTCAGAGTATAGCTCAGTGGTGGGATATACGGCCCTAGATTCAAACCCCAGCACCCCCCAAAACAACAACAACAAAAACCAAAAAGCAAACACAAAGCAACAAATAAGAAACATAAATATATATATTATATATATTTTTTTCTCTATATGTCTGTCCCTTCTAGGAAGGTTCCCAGAAACCGCACGAGATACATCTGTATACATTTGTCATTTATCTAGGGCATTTATATTCATTATTGTAAGAACTTTTTTTGAATGTTGTATATTGGGCCTTGTAACAATTCTGTGAGGCAGAAAACAGGTGAACAGACAAGAACGCCGAGGGGCACAGCTAGCAGCATTTGCACCAGGCCACCCTGCAGTCCCTCCCTGCTCCTTCTTCCTGCCCACTCTTCACTCCTCACACCCTCACCTTAGGTTCTCAGGGCAGCAGGCTGTGCAGCAGAGGGCCCTGGGCTCTGGCAGGTCCTGGCAGACGGAGGGGGGACACCCAAAGGGGAACTCGTTCTCATCGGGAGCTGGATGGGGGCTGCTGGCTGAGCTGGAGGCCATCCCAGGGTCCAAGGTTGGCCAGAGGTCTGGCCCTGCAGAGTGTGTGGGGAGGGAGGAGGTGTGTTCCAGCCCAGGCCACCCTCTCTGGTGAGCAGGACTCTCTGGTGACTTTATCTTCTTTCTGGCTTGTGTGGTTCAACGTCACAGCTGAGTCAGAGTGGGGATGGAACAGGAATTACCCTTTGTGGTGAAAAAAATCCCCTGGAAGGTGACTGAAGGCTTCAGGAGCGTCCAGTCATTTTGCAGAGTGAGAAAGAGCAAGGGAACAAGTCAGAGTAAAAGAACCATGCCACAGACTTTCAGAGACCACAGAGTTCCTCTTGTCTGAGAGCCGCAGGCTGTTTCAGGCTTCCTCCACTTCCTCAGGGGCTCACCGGTGGAAAGGCCACAACTGGCCACTTGTCTTATCACCTGGGACCTCTGAGCAGCAGAAATTCTCAGTGAGGGGGTGCTTGCCTCCGTGGTAGAAATCCCCAGGGTTTTGGGGTCAGGTTCAAAAATTCAAGTTCTAGGTCCTTCAGCCTTGCCCCGTCCAGTGTGCTTGGGTGATCTCAGGTAACATCTTCTCCCAGTGGATCTTGGTTACTCAATCTGTGAAAAAAAAAAAAAATGAGTTGCAACAGGTGGTCTTGGGCTCTGTGATCCTGTGATCTTATGACCAAGGCTTCCAGAGGCAGCAGGAAGCCTCTGAGGACCCAACCCTGCCTGTGGCATTCTGCATAGATCATGCTGGTGACAAACAGGGCCCTCCCCTCCTTTGAAGTCTAAGGCTTTGGGACCTCAGACTCTGCAGAGCCCTCTCCCCACAGCCACACTCAGGAAGCCACGGGTGGCTACGTGCTCAGGTCAGGCGCCACCACTTCCCTGTCCAAGGAAGAACAAAGCACTGAACAAATATAAGATCACTGGAAATGGTTTCAGTAGCCAAGTGGGTAGGAGCTCCATGTTTGCAGGAAAAGTGAACTGGAAACAATGGCTCCTGGCCAGTCTACTGCACCCTGCCAATCCTTACCACAACCTGCATGGAATTCTGCAGACATGCACAGCTCAGAGACGCAAGATGCATGGCCCAAAGTCACCCAGCTTCAAACCAGGGCCACAGGACTCCGAGTTCTGTGTTCTTCCACCACAGAAGAGATGAAAGCGGGGCAGGCTGGTGGAGCCCTGGAACCTAGGATGGAGGTCAGAGCATCCAGTTTGTCTCAGCTATCAAATGGAAAATCACTGGGCTGCTACAGTGGTTTGCAAACTTTCATAGTGGTTTCAAATCATGGATTTTGAGGTCACACACATCTGAGTAGGGGTCCTGGGTCTACTACTTACAAGCCATGGCTACTAAGACAAGGTCTTTGGCTTCTCTAAACCTCAATTTCTGCATCTGTAAAGTGGGGAAAATAATATCTACTTCATCCAACTGTTGTGATGACCAAAAGAGATGGCAGGTGAGTGTGGCATGGCTCACGGCCCAAGTAACTTGCTTGGAAGGCTTTAGCACTTTACTCAGGTCATGGCCACAGCCCCTCTGCTCCCGAAAACCAGGGAAGAGGATTAAAAGGGTAAATTCCATTACTGTAATGTTTTCACAGCCTTCAACCTCAGCATCCCACCTGGGCAGGGCAGGTTGGGTGCTGCCATCTGATCCTTGATAAACTCAACTGCCCACCTTCCCAGGAATAGCAGCAGTGCCAGGGGTTGATGGCAAGAGTTCACTGTGTCCTCTGGCTACAGTTATGTCAGGACTTCACCTTTCTCTGGGCCTGCCTGGCCTCTTCAGCAAGCCACCTCAAAGCCTGCTTGAGATCTTCAGAAAGGCATTTTCTTAACTACTTGTCTATACCTGCCAACTTCCTGCACCCCACCTGTCCCCTCCTGTGTTGGTTTGGAACCATGGAGGCACCCAAGCCTTATCTCCCCATGCAGCTTCTGTGTCCCTTCCTCGCCCATCATTCTTCTGTCTCTTCTGTCATCGCCGACTCCCTATCAGCTCCTTCCCACCGGCATCAAAATGTCTAAGTTGCTCTACTAAGAAGTGAAAAATAACAAGTTCTACTTTTCAGTGCTGTGTTAAGTACTTTTACAGACATTATCTCATCCAATTTTCATGTGATGCCTAAGAGGCAGATGTTGCCATCAACACCCCATTTCACAGATGTGGGAACCAAGGCTCGGAGAAGTGAAGTGGTCACCACTAGCCAGCAAGCCAGGCTGCTGGAACCAAGAGCCTGTGCTCGAAGCACACACGCTCCAAAGCATTCTTCACTTTCATCCCCAATTCCCCTCCCTCTTCCACTCTGACTCCTCACTCCACAGTAAAACGCCCAGAAGACGGTCTGCACAGGTGCTTGCGTTTTCTGGGAACCATTCCCCTGAGGATACAGACGTGGAGGTTGCCAGATGCGCTGGGCCTGTCCCAGGGTATCCTCCCGGGCCTTGGCAGGCACTCCTAGCTCTTCCTTCCCTCCCGTGCTGCACCCCCACCCCCCACCCCCCGGGGTC